GTGAAGGATGCTCAGGCATGACTCCCCACAGCAGCAATGGATGTAAGGAAGTAAACCTCCTGCAGCTGTCAGAATGAGTGAGGACAATAATCCAAGTGGCACCTGCATACATCAGTGGCCAAATGATGAAGGAATATCAAGCTGTTCTTCACTGCAGCCCAACTAGCTGTGAAATGAACAGCCAGGCCCAGGAAAAAGAAAGCAAACCATGTTTCCTTCCCCTTTTTTAATCCCAAGAAGAGGAGGACACCAGGCTGCCTGTCCCTTACCATTCGTAGTGTAGAAAGTCCACCAACAACCAACCAGAAGATGTAGAAGAGGGAGTGGAAGTGGATGTTATAGGTGACAAAGAGAGTGATGCAGTGTCCAAAAAGACCATAGCCCTGAGAAAACAAGAATGTCCATGTTATGAGCTCAGTCCCACACAAAAGGCCATTGAGCAAGAGCACGAACAGCCTATTCCTGCAACACTTCACCTCACAAATCACTCATTCACTGCCAAAGGGGCAACCAGAACAACAATTTTAAGAGCAGCTCACACTCAGATAATCTGTCTGAAAGATTCACGGGCATGTCAGAAATTACAGCAATTTGGGAAACAGATGAAAGATCCTCCAATTCCTGAGAAATTGGAGCCTCCTGTATTTTTACCATCAGGCTTTCAAATTAGGAAGTGCAAAGCAGGAGAGCTGCATGAAGGAACTGCCTCTTTGTACTGCTGCTGTGCCTGGGATGGGGAAGGTCAGAAGAGCATCCTGGAATTCCAGGTTATCCCAGTGCAGTTACCTGGGACCAATGATTTACAAGCACAAGGACTTTTCACGTTCTTTGGGAAAAGGTTGTGCTGGAACACAATGCACATCTCAGGGTGGCTCCATCTGTACATACCAACAGTGATAGCATCTGCACCATCGTGATTTGGGCATTGCAGAGATATGCCAGGAAATAGATGAAAGACGAGACACCCAACCAGTAACCGAAGCAGGTGCCAATGGCTGTGCCCATCAGTGTGCCTTCCCTCTGTGGAGACAGCATCAGGAGGAGGAGAACTCAAAGAGGTGACCTGCCAGCATCCAAACTTCACCTGAGAGTCCGAGCCTTTCTAGGCATTATCACATGGCTGGCTAGCAGCATTCAGGGTGCCACATCACCTCTACACACCAGCTCTCCCATCAAGACTTTCTGGTGCCTCCTCCCTCCCACCCCCAAAGCGAAAGGTTCTTCCTGAAACCAATCTGCTTTTCAGCAAGATGTTTATCTAGTTATGAAAGAGAGAGGTTTCCTCTCTGTTTCTAGTGTCACTTCAGCAATCCAGAGCCCAAGTCAAACCACAGCTTATCACTGAGACTTGATGTACAATGATGGTGTCCGAGGTCTTCATCCCATGCAAAAGGATGGCCACCAGGGTGAAAACCAGCATGAGGGGTCCATACAGCTCACCTGCAATCTTCTACAGGAAGAGACAGACGAGGAAAGTTTGGTTAGTGCTCCTGAACACCAGGGTCCCCACCCTTAAGCAATGAGAAAAGTGCCTTGCATGAGTTTATCAACTAAGATTAGGTGAGAGCACAGTGAAGTTTGGAACAACCACAGGAAAAGGGTCACCAACATTTCCAGGGAGATGAACACCTAGCAAACTCAGGTCCTTAATAACATGGACTACTTCAGTTTTACAAGGTGTCTGTGGGACATTCAATTGGTCACAGAGTCTGATTCAGCACAAGGGAACTCACCTGTGGGAAATTAATCATTTTCACGGGAATCATGGATTCCAGCAGTCTGTATCACAGCAAAGCAGGGAACAACAACAGGAGCAGGAAGGACAACAGGATGGTTAACAAAATGCTTTGTAAGTAAAAGATCCCATACACCCATACACCAGTGTTTGCTGCTGTGTTCACAGGCCCTGGGGACAGACATTCTTTCTAAAGGGTCACATAAGGTCACTAAGGGAGAAAAACCTTACAGTCAGTGGGTTAACTTAGCTGGGGGGTGGATTCAATGTTTAGGGATCCACTCAGGGATAAGAGATCATTGACATAATAGCAGGAAGGAGAGGCAACTTCCTTTACAAAGGCTCACAAAACTTTGCTTCCTTGGCCAACAGCTGTGCTGCGAACCCAACAAAAGCCACATAATGCAGACAAGTACTAAAATGCTGAGAATGCCCCAGAGCCCCTTCTCCTGCCCCAAGCAGCAATGCTGGGCACCAGGGCTGCCAGCACACCCGTGGGACCTCACCACAGAGAGTGGGACAACGCAGAGCATGTTACCCCAGACGTGAGTGAGCCTTCCTGCGGGGCTGACACCCACCCCTGCCTGCTCGCTCGGAGGGGACAGCAGCCCTGGCCCCCTGTGCCCACCTGGCTCGCACTTGGACGGGCTCCACGTCGAAGTACGGCCGGAGGATGTCGATGTTGGCGTAGAGGCTGAAGGCCCTGGAGGCTTGTCTCTTCC